CGGGACGATAAAAATCGCACCCAGGAGTGATTCTGCCGCTGCCGCAGCTCTGCCGCAGAAAAATATATGAATGTGGCGGAATAGGGTTGACTGTGAAGAATCTCTGTGATGCAGTCAATTCATTTGACACGGAAAACTTGCTGAAACCATTGCACCCCTATGTCGTCGTTCATCCACCCGTTTTCTTGATATTCCCAAATGGTGCCTTCTGGGTTGTCGTGAATGGCAAAAGAACGGATGGACCTGTTCGTTATGCTTTTGACAAAAGATCAAGATAATTGCAACTTTACAATACTGGCGAAGTTACCCGTCGGCCGTGGCGAATTTACCCGACAATTGGTAACCTTAGTAAAATGTAATATATTTAATTAAATTGATTGAAATAACAATGAAATACCTATATATAGAGATAATAAAGCAGTTAAATTAATGGAATCAATGCAAGAACATAGAAAATATGGCGTTCCGCTGCCGCACATATGGATTTAATGTGACTTGCGGTACCGCACATATCGCCCCGCTGCTGTGCCGCTGCCGCTGCCGTCCCGCACATATGGATTGCTACCTTTATTCCTACACCACAGAGACCAGTACAACATTGTCAGTCTCCTAATATTCCAACAAACAGGTTAATGACGTAGCGAGCGCTACGATCAGCAGCAGACCTAAGGAAAGGCCTAGGTAGCCTACTTTTCCAACCATAATACACATTAGTCAGAAATACAAATTTGTATAATATTCCATAGTATACATGACGTTGCCTGTCTTTTTTAAGTTTCGGATTACATAAACATAGTCGAAATAAAATCTGTATGAATACCGAAGTTTTCGTCGGCCACATAATAATATTATTCAGACGTGCGAAGCCCGCCAACATTTTTACATTTCATTTTAGACTGTTAAAGTTAAACTTTAAGTGCCTGCAAATAATCGAAACTCACTTCTAACGTCGATTATTTTTTTTTTTAAATGCAGGTTCGTAAACTGTGGTATCGATGGCATGTGCTCCATGAGCGTTTAGTCAGTACTGTTATTTTAAATGTTTGAAAAAAATAAAACGCAAGAAACGATACACATTGTAAGTGTAATCTTTATACGACTTGAATGAATTAGTGCCCCCCCCCCCCTTTCGCTCCTGTATTTTCTTTCTTTCTGGGCTTAGAACATTTCGACAGCTTCCTGACGCTATACTATATGCTTGTGTTTTAAAGTGTCCAAGGTGACGTCATGTGGTTTTGACAGACCAGAACGCACGACCTTTGTGGGTTAAAGTTTTACTTCATCATAACACACTGCAACCAATCATTGTATACAGTTGTTGTTAGAAAAAGTGGTACATACAACAAAAACAACAACAACTGCAGCAACAACAACCTCCATAACAACAACAAGAACAACAGCAACCACAACAACAATAATATAAATGATGATGATGATGATAATAGTAATAGTAATAATAATGATGATAACAATAATGATAGTTAAGTAGTAGTAGTAATAATAATAGTGATA